TACTTCAAACAGATCCTCACAATTCGTTAACAGGGTTTTCAAACAAACTGAAATTGTGGAATTCATGTTGATGTTTGCAGTTTGATACAATAGTGACGAACAATATCTTCGGTGATATACTTTCCGATGAGGCCTCGATGATCACTGGTAGCATAGGGATGCTTCCATCAGCTAGCCTTGGATCTTCGGTACTTACAAAATCTCGCTTCAGCCAAGGCCTCTTGCTTGAAGTCATTTACATCTTACTTGAAAACATTTAATTGGTTACAGGGTCCTGGACTTTTCGAGCCAATTCATGGTTCTGCTCCCGACATTGCTGGACAGGTCAGCATGATTTTTCTTCATGTTAAAGATAAGTTTCGTATTAGTCTTTCATATCAGCCACATTGACATTCCATTCTTCATAACGCAGGATAAAGCAAATCCACTGGCGACTATTCTCAGTGCTGCAATGCTTTTGAAGTATGGCTTAGAGGAAGAAGATGCTGCAAGGCGGATCGAGAATGCTGTACTTGATACACTAAACAAGGGGCTCAGGACGGGAGATATATATTCAACCGGCACTGTAAGTGATCTCTTTATGTTGAAAGCATCGCTAGCTTGCTTCTTGGCTCTGCTCTAACATATGAGTCGGAAGTAGGAATTCAATTCAAAATTATGCATTCATATAAACAACACAACCTTGTGCAGAAACTGGTTGGCTGCAAGGAAATGGGAGAGGCAGTGTTGAGATCAGTTGACTCTCAGGTTCATGCTGCTGTTTGATCTGGATAAAGTAGTTGTTTGTATGAAGTATATGAACTGGAAAATACAGTTCTGAGTTTGTATTGTTTCCGTCTTCTTTGTTGTTACTTGGTGCTTACTGAGGGAATTGCATTGGTCTTCTCTTTCTATCTCTCCTTGGCCCTTGCTATTTGATCAACAGATTTTTTTTTTTGGGTAGAAATCAACAGAATATTTTGTGTTTGGTTTAGATGTATCTGCTTATTTTTGGAAGTAATCAGCAGAACATTTCTCTTCCTTGTGGATATGGGACACTTAGAAGTTAGAACTATCCAGTCTGTTTGAATGACAATGCGAAACATGAGAGCAAGACTCGAGTGCTGAGTGCTGGTGATCCAGCTCGTTGAGCGGACAACAGCCACCGCTGAATCTAGCTGTAGTGACTAGTGGTACATGTATGTGGCCAAGCTGTTAGGCCACCTTGTGATCTTACTTCAATAGCTTGATGTTGCTTGTGCTTCAATATCACAAGCAACAAGGACACGCTCACCACCAGTAACACCACTAGATCAGGTGTCCGAATTGACATGAGGGTCTAGACTAATGGTGATCCCAGCTAGTTCCAATCAACAAGAAGATCAACATCTCTTCTTCCTGATCCACAGTATATAATATATTTACATCTTTCTCCTTTTCAGTTACTATTTCTATTTATTCATACCAAGTAGTATACAACAAACACTGACAAAAGCACACATATTATTAGTAAGTTTGCCACTCAAAGGCCAAAGCATGCCAATGGCATACTCATTATGCTTCATCCTTCCCAGTCTCCCACCTGCCCGTTGGCCGTTGTTCTCTTTTCTACTAGCAACAATTCAACAAGACAACAACCCAAGAAATTTCAAATAATGACAAATGGGCCCATTTCTCGCTCCACCGTCGATTGCCCTGGTCGCCACCTTTCCCCAAGAGAAAGACTGCTGATCGGACGGCGTACAAAGTAGTCCAAAGCTCTGCTTTTTATTAGTTTACTCTTTCCCCTTTCCTTTGTTTAGTTCCTCCACTAACTTCACTCACTCAACCCACTGGTTTCTTCCAGTCTTACTTTCTCCTCTTTCAGTAATGGCGGTTCCCAAACTTTACTCTCCCTGCACAATTTCCCACATCTTCTTCCTCTCCGCCATCGCCTTAGCCCACATTTCTGCTGCTACCACGACGGATGTTGAGCTTCTCCTTGGCAAGATCAAACCTTTGCTCCAAGGTAACAACAATGAAAACCTCCTGCTTTCATCTTGGAACTCCACCACCGTCCCACTCTGTCAATGGCGAGGTCTCAAATGGGTTTTCTCCAATGGCTCTCCTCTCTCTTGTTCAGAGGACCTCTCTGCTCCACAGTGGTCCAATCTTTCCCTCTTCAAAGACCCTTCTCTTCACCTTTACTCCCTCCAGCTCCCTTCGGCTAACCTCACTGGTTCACTCCCCAGAGAGGTTGGTGAGTTCTCAATGCTTCAAGGTTTGTTCGTTAACTTCAACTCGCTCACTGGAACCATACCCCTCGAGCTCGGTTACAGCTCTTCACTCTCTCATATTGATTTGAGTGGCAATCTGTTAACTGGGTCTTTACCTCCTTCAGTTTGGAGCTTGTGCGATAAATTAGTGATAGTTAGGGTTCATGGCAATTCCTTATCTGGGGTGGTTCCTGACCCTGCCGCATTACTACCCAATTCCACTTGCGAGAAGTTGGAGGTGCTTGATTTTGGTAGCAATAGGTTTTCAGGGAAGTTCCCTGAATTTGTCACCAAGTTTGTAGGGTTGAAGGAGCTTGATCTTTCAAGTAATGCGTTTGAAGGGCAGATTCCTCAGGGCTTACAAAGCCTGGAGAAGTTGAATCTTGCGCACAATAACTTCAGTGGGATGTTGCCTGCCACTTTCCAGGGCTCCAAATTTGGGGTGGAGGCTTTTGAAGGGAACAGTCCCGCACTTTGCGGGTTTCCCTTGAAAAGTTGCAGTGGAGCTGCAACTTCTGGGGGCTTGAGCGCTGGCACCATAGCTGGGATCGTGATCGGGTTGATGACTGGAGTGGTGGTCTTGGCTTCACTTTTGATTGGTTATGTACAGAACAAGAAGAGGAAAGGGAGGGGAGATAGTGAGGATGAACTGGAGGAAGGAGAAGATGATGAGGAAAATGGTGGTGGTGGAGAAGGGAAGCTGGTGATGTTCCAAGGTGGCGAGCATTTGACTCTCAACGATGTGCTGAATGCCACGGGACAAGTTATGGAGAAAACGAGCTACGGGACCATATACAAGGCGAAGTTAAGTGATGGGAGCACGATTGCTCTGAGGCTTTTAAGAGAAGGGAGCTGTAAGGATGGAAGTTCTTGTTCATCTGTGATCAAACAACTAGGGAAAATAAGGAATGAGAATTTGATTCCCTTGAGAGCTTTCTACCAAGGGAAAAGGGGTGAAAAGCTGCTTATTTATGACTATCTTCCACACCGTAATCTCTATGATCTGTTACATGGTAAAGACGTTTGGTCTCTCCCTCTCTCTGGCTTTCCTGTTGCAATGCATGTCTTTTGTTTTTTGCTTGGGCTACAATCCATCATAAGAACAAACCTTTAGCTTCTAGTTTGACTTCGCATATTGGATTCGTTCTTGCATTGATTGGAATCATTCTCATGCATCATCGTCATCATCATAATCTGTTTTATGTACATGTCTGAATGTAGAGACTAAAGTGGGGAAGCCAATGCTCAACTGGGCCAAGCGACACAAGATAGCGTTATGCATTGCCAGGGGGTTAGCATATCTCCATACGGGTCTCGAGACGCCTATTACACATGGCAACGTGAGGTCGAAAAACGTGCTGGTCGACGATTTCTCCGTTGCTAGGCTCACCGAGTTTGGACTTGACAAGTTGATGGTCCCAACTGTAGCTGAGGAGATCGTAGCCCAAGCGAAAACAGATGGTTATAAAGCACTGGAGCTCCAGAACTTGAAGAAGTGCAATTCCAGGACGGATGTCTATGCATTCGGCATACTTCTGCTTGAGATCTTGATAGGCAAGAAACCAGGGAAAAATGGGAAGGATGGTGACTTTGTGGACCTGCCATCGACTGTGAAGGAGGCAGTGCTGGAGGAAACAACATTGGAAGTTTTCGATATCGACATTCTGAAGGGTCTCAGAAACCCCGTGGAGGAAGGTCTGCTACAGGCGTTGAAGCTTGCAATGGGGTGCTGTGCTCCAGTTCCTTCTGTCAGGCCAACCATGGATGAAGTAGTGAAGCAATTGGAGGAGAACAGGCCTAGAAACCGGTCTGCCCTTTACAGCCCGTCTGAAACTAGGAGTGAACTTGGTACACCATTTTGAAGCGTTCTTTACTGCTTGCATTGTTTCCTTTTCCATTTGCGGTAGGTCAGTTCCTTGGACCGGTTTTACTGAGAGTAGTTTGGCAAATGGTTGACGTTGTATTGTTGTTGTATCTTCGTGCTTTGTTCCTATTGATATTCAAATATATAATTTAGTTTTAGTTATTTATAAATTATAGAACTATACAAAACCTGAATCCCATTCCACAAGATCATAACCATTGAAAGTTGGATCAGATCAAACCAAAGTTTAATTCAACTTCGGTTATATGAATCCTCTTGATAGTAAAGAAGAAGAAAAAATGACATCTGAATTGGATAAAACCAAAGTTTAATTCAACTTGATGATGTTAACTCTCTTACAAATAAAGAAAGAAAAATTGGATCGAAAAAAATATTATTTTATAAATTTAATCCTAATATGATGTTGAACCAGTTATCTTCTATATAACTATTCAATACCTTTTTAGTGCAATGAAAAACGATATAATTGCAAACTACAAAACCACCACAACTCTACCTCTAGCTCGAAAACCACACAACACTCTACAAAGTACAAAATTTTGACTTAAAAAAAACTTTTGGAAATTGTAATTGTTAAATAGATGTATTGTTGTGAATGTATGTATAATATTATACATTATTGTCGAATTCAATGCATTGTAAAATACAACGTTTAGTATATGTGATTGTGTATGTCACATCAGTTAAAAGCAGTGACAAAAAAATCTCAATAATCACAACTAAAAGCCGAGATATAACAATCAATCATTTTGAGTGCTAGTTCCCATCACATTAAAGAAACAATCCATGTATTGTTACTGCTAAAAGATTGAATTTATATCACCAAAACAATAACTAACTTTAAAACTCGCTTATAAGCTCTAATCCAAACAAAACTCATATTTCTATCCATAAAAGAACAAACAAACCCACATGGAAAGCAAAACTAACAGCCGGCCAACGGGTTGGGGTCCAACACTAGTACAAGTAGAGGATCAGTGTGGAGTCGTAAAGGGGAATCTGAGATCTGCCAGTTGTTCGGTCACTCCACTAATCTCCTCGTTGATGTCGCTGTGGACGCCTTTAATCGTCCATTGGTGTTCTCGGTGCTGATTGCAAATCCGTCGGTAGCCGCGTCCCCGCCGTTTCCCCCATCCGGCTTCCCGCTCTTCTCATCTCGCCGGTCTACTGGCTCCCGCTGCCGAGGTAAAAGATTCAAACTTCCGGGCTTGAACTAATGGCTGATTAGTATGGTGCGTGGCGTGAGTGGATTGTTTGATTCGTGGACAGTAATTTGTGGGTTCCCTTCAATCAGTTGCTGAATGCTAGCAATCAGTGGATCCCTTAAATGCGTCTGTCCTCTTCTAGCTTATGTTGTTCACTAGGACTTGTATTGCCAGCCTGTATGCAAATATCAGATCTTTTTACTGCATTGGTTTCTATGTAGTTCGAGATCGTTTCTTCTACTGCATCTGCACTTGTATCCGCTGAGTTTGGATGTGTTTTTGGTTTCCCCCCTTTGAATTATCCTTCTAGATTTGTTTGTGTAAGCTGGTGTCCCTCATTTAGCTCACTCATACTTCGATTTGCATGTCAGTGGTGCGTACTGCGTAGGTAGCTCGAACGTAGCCATGGATTGGGATCCGGAAAACAATAAACTCAGCCCCAAGCTGGTGAACGTGGGGCTCCTGATCGTGGCAACTGTGCTGCTGGCCAAAGTGGTGTCTGCATTGTTCATGAGCCGATCTGGGAAGCGGAGGCTACCCCCAAGGGTGAAGCAGGGGATACCAGTGGTTGGTGGGCTGTTGAGGTTCCTAAAGGGTCCCATTGTGATGCTGAGGGAGGAGTACCCCAAGCTGGGAAGCGTCTTCACCTTGAATCTTGTCAACAGGAACATCACCTTCCTCATTGGCCCGGAGGTCTCTGCCCACTTCTTCAAGGCCCCTGAAGCTGACCTCAGCCAGCAGGAGGTCTACCAGTTCAATGTCCCGACTTTTGGCCCTGGTGTTGTCTTCGACGTCGATTACTCCATCCGCCAGGAGCAGTTCCGCTTCTTCACCGAGTCCCTTCGTGTCAACAAGCTCAAGGGCTATGTTGATATGATGGTTACAGAAGCGCAGGTCAGAATTTTTCTTACGATCCCTCACTCTCTATGCAATTGCTTCTATTTGACACTGTTGCAATTTCTTATTAGAATCAAGTATGAGAAGCGACTTTGCTTGGACCAACATGATCTCTTTTTTACAAGTAGTTTGGGTAGGGTACTTGTGAGAACAATATTGACAGTAGTATTCAATTGAATGAATTGATCGGTTTTTGTTAATACCTTTGTGCTTGAGTACATTTGAAATCCGGTACAATTTCATATACAAGTATATTTTGGCTTATGAACAAACACAATATTACATATAGAAACCACTTTTTATAGTCTTTCTACTCCTACTGTGTAGTCTAATTTTTGTCATATCGTCAAACAATGCAGGATTACTTCTCCAAGTGGGGAGACAGCGGAGAGGTGGATTTGAAATACGAGCTTGAGCATCTTATCATCCTGACAGCAAGCAGGTGCCTACTTGGCCGAGAAGTCCGTGACAAGCTCTTTGATGATGTCTCTGCACTATTCCACGATCTCGACAATGGGATGCTTCCAATCAGCGTCCTATTCCCTTACCTCCCCATCCCAGCTCACCGACGCCGTGACCTTGCTCGCAAGAAGCTCGCCCAGATCTTCGCCAGCATTATCAATTCACGGAAGAAAACTGGTAGCTCGGAGAACGACATGCTGCAATGCTTTATCGACTCCAAGTACAAAGATGGTCGCCCGACAACTGAAGGCGAGGTCACAGGCTTGCTCATTGCGGCTCTTTTCGCCGGGCAGCACACTAGCTCTATCACATCCACTTGGACCGGGGCCTACCTCCTACGTCACAAGGAGGAGTATCTTTCTAGCGTTGTGGAGGAGCAGAAGCAGCTGCTGAGGAAGCATGGTAACAGAGTGGATCATGACGTACTGTCTGAAATGGATGTGCTGTACAGGTGCATCAAGGAAGCTCTGAGGTTGCACCCTCCATTGATAATGTTGATGCGCCAATCACACAGCGATTTCAGCGTGACCACACAAGAAGGGAAGGAGTATGACATCCCTAAGGGGCACATCGTGGCTACTTCTCCTGCGTTTGCTAACCGGCTTCCACACATCTTCACCGAGCCAGATAAGTACGATCCTGACAGGTTTGCTCCCGGAAGGGAAGAGGATAAGGCGGCAGGGGCTTTCTCCTACATATCTTTTGGTGGGGGTAGGCATGGCTGCCTCGGGGAGCCCTTTGCATACTTGCAGATAAAGGCCATATGGAGCCATCTGCTGAGGAACTTCGAGCTGGAGCTTGTTTCTCCCTTCCCAGAAATCGACTGGAATGCAATGGTTGTGGGTGTTAAAGGAAGCGTGATGGTGCGTTACAAGCGCCGACAACTTGTAGTTGATTAGCGTGCTGAGGACTTGAAGTCGATTAGGCAGATGGGAGCTAGAGAGACTTGCTCTTTGTGTGGCTTGGTTAGTTATTTGTTGCTTGCTCGTCCTAGCTTTATCCTGTGGTTTTTTTTACATCAGACACTACTGTTATTCTGATGATGGGTCACTCTGAGTAGTTTCGTATGACAACCCATCAGTTGTTCCTTCCAAAAGATGTTAGTTTCAGACCATCTTTGTCATCACTCATCAGAAACTACTGTTTTTGCAAGTAATTAGTTGTCACTTTAAAAGGTTTTCACCAGAAAAAAGGACAATTTGCGTGAAGCTTTCTGTTCTTTTGAGCCTTCACGCGAGTCTTGTAGTTTAGGTAAGAGAAGAGATTCAAGATACCACATTGCAAAGAATAAGCGCTATGCATGCATAATAGGAACATTCTTACTCTTGGAGAATATGGACTAATTCCAACAATATATAACATAATGTAATTTTGGTGATCGATGTGAATTATATGATTAGAAACATGCAACCAACCATGTCTTCTACATATATTTATATGTGTGGAAACTTGTTTATTGTGATTGGTTGTTAGTATATATCGTTGATCTTCTAATTGATTTTTCAGTTTAGACATGTACATGTCATGGTATGTATAGTTAGTAATAAGTTCAGATTAGGCTTTGAGATATTAGAGAGAACCAAATAACTTAAATGTTTTCATAACGAGCACAACACAAGAAGCTTCGAGGTTCAACCAACGTGAGATTTGGATTTGCTTCAGTCTTCACTTATCTCCACATCAAACAAGCCATGGGTGACTCTAATTATAACCAACAAACCTTAATGAATTGAATTTCAAATTTTCAAAAATTGTTAGTTTGTTGTAACCTCATTGGCCGAACTACTTTCAACTCGATCTTCCTCCTCACAGGGCTTTAAGAAACGAGTTGGGTGAAACACGAGGAAATACGATCCAATGAAAACAAGGCAAGCGAAACCAATTGTCGGTTTTTCTGGTGGACTAAATGCTCAGACTAGTTGGTGTATTCACCATATTCTCTCTTCTTATTATTCGATGTATTGGAGAGGGAGGGGACAGAGGGAGGAAGAGGACCGAGGAAGGTCAGTTCGAATCCAAGGCCGATGCGGGAGCACCCAGACCTACCCATTGTGAGTTAATACCATTCCAAGAACGGTTATGTTGTTATCAAGAAACGCACTACAAGGTTTTAAATATATCTTTGTTGCTTCTTTGATGAGCTACTCATTCTTTCCTTATCCGATGTTGTTATTCATTGAAAGACAAAAGTAGATGAAGAGATGAAATAACTAAGATAAATGCATATATATATTGGCTACTTCGGTGCACCCACAAATGAGTGCATACAATGCACTCAACTCTATAAGTGACATAACCATATATATATATGGTTCAGACTAGTGTATGCCCGGGCATACGTTAGACTACCGTACGCCCGTTTGAGTTTTGTTATTTAGATCATGAATTAACCGGAGTTTTGGGCATGATACTATACCCTAACCACTAATGGATAAACCCCAGTCCCTAGTTTTCTAACCCAAATCATGAGATTCGTTTAATCTTAAAATGAAAATCAAAAATAATTTCGATGAATCAGAACCGTTGATTTTCATTTCAAGATTAAATGAATATTATGATTTAAGTTAGTGAATTGCGGACTGGGGTTTACCCATTAGGGGTTAGGGTACAGTATCATGCCCCAAACTTCGATTAATTTATTGTCTGAATAACAAAACTCAACGGGCGTACGGTAGGCTAGGGTACGTCCGGGCGTACGCTAACCTTTGCCATATATGGTTCAGGCATATATATATATAATATATGGGGAGTTCTATGGTACCCCGGGTGAAATCCGGGGTACCGCATACCTTGAGTAAGAAAACGCTATCTAGAACTTGAATTGACTAATCTTTCGGACATGATACTATACTCTAACCCTTAAAGATCAACATCTAGGTCTTAATTCTCTAAATCTTATACCCGAAGATCAATTTAATTAGAAACAATAATCGACGGTTATGATTCGTCCGAATACAGGTAAAAAAACCAATGCACCATCTTAGGGTTTATAGTTTATGATTTAGATAATTAGGACCTAGGGTTCACTCATTAAGGGTTAGGGTATAGTATCATGCCCAAAAATCCTGGTAATTCGAGGTCTAGATAGCGTTTTTATACTCAATGTATGCGGTACCCCGGATTTCACCCGGGGTACCGTAATATATATATATATGGTAATGACTGGTGTACGTCAGGTACTACTAGTGAGATATCTCTATATAGACCATGAATTAAATCGAGTTTGGGGTATGATACTATACCCTAACCTCTAATGGATAAACCTCAGACACCAATTTTCTAAACCCCAACCCGAAGTTTGATTTAATGAAAATAAAAATTGACCGTTGAGATCGGACGGAGCTCATCTAAGTACATCTAATGGTTAGATCACCTTATGTATACTATACGACTGACGTATACCAGTCATTACCATATATATATATATATATGGGCAGTTCTACGGTGCCCAGGGCAAAATCCGGGGTACGGGTGACCGGGGGCAAGGAAAATTACCAAATGCATCACGAAGCGTTTATGGTGACTTCTACGGACTTCAACCTAACTGTACCGGTTTAATGATAGCGATTAAGAGGTTAAACCCTATGGATACGACCCGCCGCCCTAACCAATTTCCAGTCTCCCTTCTACGATCCCTCATTCGCCTTGGAGGGTCCCCTCTAACTCTAAGTTCGAAGTTCGATCATAAGCTGCCTATCAAATCTGAAATCTCCAACAAAATCATCGTTTCAAAACCCAAATCCTTTTATTATTTGATCCACATTCGATTTAGCTCCCTATCCAATCTCAAATCCCCAACATCATCATGTTTCATACGCCAAATCTATGTATCCACATTCGAAGAGAAGATCCCATCCAATATGAAATCCTCACATAATCATCGTTTAGAACCCCAAATCCTTTTATCCACAAATCGACGTTTTGTTCATCGCCCATTTTATTTCCGTGCGGAATTTACTCGCCTTTCTCTTTCTAACACGATTACGGCGACCATGTCTATTATTGTGTTCATCGAACTTTTCGATTTGCAAAGAACCCTTGAAAGAGATTTGCTAACCCTAGGGTTCATGTCGCTAGTGCTTTGTCATCTTGTCTTATCGTTATTGTCATTTTCTCGAAACTTCTATCACTCGGTGAAATTAAGGTTTCCTGATATGCAGTGTTCGTCTCGCCCAGATGATTGAGGAAGGAGATGAAGAAGACCTAATTTGATTCGAATCAGATGGAGAGGTCTCCTTAATTTGTGTTTATGTATTAACGCTGCGTTTAGGACTAATTCTAGTTGGACTGGGTCTGATCATTGATTTTTGCAGGCTTTTAAATAACATTCAAACGTGGGCTTGTACATGGACCCATGACACCTAGTTTGTTGATAATAGATACTGAGTTCCGGATTGTCATTAGGTTGGGCCCTTTGATAATTGTCTATCTCAGACTCTCAGTGGCGATTCTTTGTTTTACTTATTTTCATCTGCTTTCTGCTTCTAAAATCCTGATCATTCATTGAGTTCACGCAATTTAAACATAATTCTGGTTCCATCTTTTTTGGAATTTGGTAAATGCTAGCGTGTCTCTTTACACATTTAGCGGTACGAGGTAAAACTACAATCCGCCCAATTTAACTCTTCATTAATTGAGATCCCATTCCACTCTCTCACCGATTTCCCCTCTTTATGCAATGCACTCGTACATAACAAACCTCTTGTAGACTAATTAGAGGCTTGTGGTTGGATACTGAGTGAGGATATTTTTTGAATTTATGTTTTGAAACGAAAGTTAGAGTTTCACTTTTGAAGTACCTATGTTACTTTAGTTGGACAAGTATTTTCAAAATGTAAAATTTTATCAGCGTATAGGTATACGATTGTTGTATAAGTGTTGATGTTAGAGGAAATGGGTACTGACTGCTTAGGGTATTAGGTTGTTGATGGTATAGAGTATATGGTATATGGGTAGGTTATAAGGTGTTGATGGTTTAGAGCATATGGTATCGATTGGTTAAAGGGTGAGGGTAGGTGTTGTCTTATTTTTTCTCGATTATATATTTTCTTTATATTTGCTTATAAATGCTGATCATGCCTTATTACTAAGACATAATTCGTTATATCTGCTTATAAATGCTGTATATCTGCTTATAAATGCTGATAATTTATTGTTTGATTTGAACCTGCGTGTTTTTGCTCCGAATGATTTTGTAGTGGCGTGGTAAAGACAATCCGTCCAATTTAACTCTTCATTAATTCCCCCTTTTCTTTTCTGTTTTGGTAGAATAATTACCCCTTTTCCACTCTCTCAGTCCCCGCCGAAGTTGAAACAATCCCCTGTGATATATTTATCGATCATTTTAACCCTTCACTCAATAAGAAAGCGAAATTATGCAAGATGGTCATCAATGTGATGTAGCTTAATTGGTTAATTGTCTCTTATTTGCTTAGTCAATAAAGTAGAGGTTTGTGGTTCGATACTTAGTGAGGTATCAATTTTTAATTTATGTTTTGAAAAGCAAGTTATAATTTTAATTTATCAGCGTCTAGGTATACGATATTGTATAAGGTGTTGATGGTTTAGAGTACATGGTATTGGGTTAGTGTATTGATCATCTCCATCCCTAAAATAAGATATTGTATAAGGTTTTGATGGTTTAGAGTATATGGTATTGGGTTAGTGTATTGATCATCTTCATCCCTAAAATTGAACAACAATTTCTAAACGAGGTCCCTACCGCCACATCATCAATTTTAGCAATTCATCACTTAACAATTTCTATTCATCTACATCCCTACATTATGCTAGTAATTGCCAAGGTGGGTTCCATTTTATATTTCAAAGGAAACACTTATTATAAATTGAAAGTTGGGGATGGAGATAGAAGAAGGTGTTGTTGGTATACAGTATAAGGTCTTGAAGGTGATGGACGTATAAGGGAGGAGCAAGGTGTTGATGGTTTAAAGTATATATGTTATTGATTGGTTACGGTATAAGCCTATAAGGTGTTCTTATTGTTGTAGAGTATATGATATTGATTGGTTCGTGTATTAGGGTTTGGTTTAGGGTTTAGGGTTTAGGGTTTAGGGTTTAGGGTTTCAAGTTAGAATAACATAAACCAGATCAATAGAGTAATGTTGGTAAACGAAAAAGTTAGTTAATCTACAAATTCAGACTATTTAAAAAAGTACATCCCCATTTCCCACCGTCAATTCCTAAACTTTTCCCTTGATCCGATGGTGAAATACCTTCGATCCTCGTCGCGTGCGTGTCACCCAATCAGATATTGCCGAATTCGGAAAGTCGCTTTTGCCCATAACCAATGCTGGCGTTACCAAGGCCGA